CTTTCAGTAGTTTTTGCAAAAAGTAATTGAAAATTAATGCAAACTCTGAGTCAATGACAAATTGTTTATTACCATTTTTAGATACAATATAGTCTAATCTCTAATTTTGTTTAAAATTTTTTTATTATTTTTAAATAATATGGGTAATTCACTCTTAAAGCTCTTTTTTTTCGCTGGAGGACTTTCGATCGATGATGTTAGAAACCAGAAAATGCACGCTTTTTCTTATAAAATGCATTTAGATAAAAAGGTGGTAAGAATTATCCGTAAAACGATATTTGTCGAGTAGATTTATAAAATGGTCAGAATTTTTCTTTTGTTCTAACGATCAATAAATTATCGTAAAATTAACAGGACATCTAACCTACTTTTTGAGCTATCTTTATGATTCTGCTACGTGTTTATTTTACGATTATTTATTGATTTGATTATTATTAAAGCAAAGAAAAAGCGTTCAAGCTATTTTACAAATCCGCTTAATCGATTGCAAATATTATTTTGTGAATCTGTCATTTTATTTCATATTTTGCAAGAATTTTGAGCATATATTTTCACACTTCTGACGTCATAAGTTAAGATATTCACGGTGAAGAAACAGGAGCCTTACAGCATGACATTATTGAGTTTAAATATTTGACAGGGTGAGTGTCACGCTGAATTCACGTGTGAGTCTCACCAGGCCCACATTTTCACAGCGTTACGTTAGCACGTCGCGTGATTCAGCTGATTTCACTAAGATTTATGTCATGTGACTTTTTTCTTCAGTTGTCAACACTTTTAACCTCTAAATATCATCTTACGTCGATTGTTTTATTACACGTTAATGTTAAACTCCCTGAAATAAAAATTTCTGTATCATTCGTATTCGTCATGAGTATTAGTTATTTATTTATGAATGACATAATATTTAACATGATAATAATATTTAGAGCAAGACGAGAGACGGTGTCCCTTGATTTAGTTTTATCCGATTTCCTAAATAATTGATTATTTCTTATAAATATATAGTCGGGAAATAGTAATTCTTTATAAATAGTCGGACATTTGTAATTCCTTATAAAATTAAATTGTAATTTGTAATTCCTGAGAAAATTATAAAATTAAGTTGTAATTTGTAATTCCTTAGAAAATTAGTCTTACTTATAAAAATTATAAATAAATATATAAAGACAAAAGAGAGTACCTTCATCTACAAGAAAATTCTTACTAAAACTGACGCATCTCGCCTAGATGGGTGACATGGCGGTCATGGTGTTGACCTTTTAAGGGTTAGGCATCGATCCCGTTTAAGTTTTCTTCATAAAATAGGCTTAAAAACCGCTGCTGATAAAAAGTTTAATGTTTCATGTCAAAATAACCATCGAGAAGTATGATTTTCTAAATATATATGATTATGTACCTTCATGTATGTACTTCAGCTATAAAATTTACTAAATCTTGCAACTATATAATAACAAACATGACAATGCCAGTTATGTATTTTAAGATGGCATCGATAAAAAACAGAGAAAATGAAATTCGCTTACTTTGTTCCGTGAAAAACGTTACACAATTTCGAGAATCAACGACTCTGCTCTGCATACAATCGCCATATTAGTTTCTTCAACGAAGAAGTCAATATTTCACGAATTACGACGAAAAATATAACTCTATTTAAGATGAATCAATAACGTCATATTGACGGAATCATTATTTTGCCAATATAAAAAATTTGAAGAAGACCCAAAGTGAATATACATAATTATGTACATTTAAAGTGTTAATGATAGACATTTAATATATATGATATTTTTAAGTAAAATTAAAGATATCCAATTATATCTAGTAAGTTCAGGTGGAAATAAAATTGTTACCAGAGGAAAGAGAGGGTGTCTGCCGGGATTTTGAGTGTCGCTGGGATGTCCTCGTGTGTGCAGACGCTCGAAATCGTTTTGCAAGAGGAAATAGTCGGGAGTCGGAAATCGGAAATTCGAAATACAACAATACCCGCTGATTTGCATTCGTGCGCGCATCGTACGCGGGCGCCTTCATGCGCCAAGTCGTGAATGAGTATAGATGGCTGGAGGGGTGAGACCGAGGCGGTCGGAGAGGTTAAACGCACGTCCGCGTAAAGGGGTTAAGAGAGGGCGACGGACAAGGAGAAATGGTGCGAAAGGGACGCCGAAGAGAAGCACGAGGAACGCGGGATGTAAATAGTGTGCAGGGGACAAGAGTGCGACGACTGAGTGGAATTTTTCTAAAGGAGCCGTGCCGTTTCCGGCACAGTGGATACGCGAGTCTCGTTCTGCGTAACAGAAAAAAAAAAGATCACATCGACAGCAGGTGGAATAATGTACACCACATCTGTTCAACATCGCAAGTTACCAAAACGTCTAAGATCTCCGTATCAATAGTCGCTGCTTGAAATTTGCCTCACGTGAGACACTCGGATCGGGATTAAGAATTAGATATGACGTTCTCAATTAAATCACATGATATATGTGACATGTACACTTATACGATACGTGTATGTGTATTAGTAATAGCGCGCTTCAACTAATCAATTCACTAACCTTAAATTCAGATCCAAATATCTCGCTTGAGATAAGTTTCAAATAACGACTATTAATACGAGCTTAAGATTTGCATGTATTAACAATCGTTATTCGAAACTTATCATGTGAAACGCCCAGATCTAAACTTAGAATTAAATGTGAATTTTTCAATTGAACCGCGATTGTAAATATAATGTATCATCCCAGATAAACTTTCATAATTATTACATTCGATGACATAGAAACTTTGTAATTCTTTTAATCACGTTTATGTGAAGCAAATATATATATATATATATATATATATATATATATATATATATATATATCGCATTAATCATCAAATTTACTTCATAAAATAATGCAAATTTTTTCGTTATATTGATGCAACAATAGATTTGCTAAAGTTACACACAAATTTTGATTTTGCATTTTACGCCACATATTGTTTCAGTAAGTTTTCAACATTCTTTTTATATTTTTATTCCGTTATGCTATCTATAATAAATATAAATTCCATATAAAACACTTATAAAGAACGTAATCTTTATAAATTGACTAGTATATAAAGATGTTGCCATATTTACGTACACCTATCTATCTGGATAAGACGTCTTGAGAATTCATCGTTTCTTTATTATAAATTTCAAATTCTTGTTGATATTTGTAATATCTCGAAATATAAAAAAATAAGAAAAGAGTTAACCCAGATAAACTTTCATAATTATCACGATGTAAGACAACCGATGGAATGGGTGATGGAAAGTCTACAATTTTTTTAAAATTACTTTTATGAGACAAATATTAAAATAATTATTAAATGCATACCATATAATACTGTTAATTTTACCATATAACAATGTAAGTATTTTAATATACAATAATGTCAAATTTTTGTATTAACGCAGAAACAAATTTACTAACAGTTGCACTCAAATTTTCATGTGACATTTTACGTGACATTTTACGTGACATTGTTTTGAGCAAGTTGTACTAAATTTTTTCATCTCTCTCTCTCTCTCTCCCTTTCTATTTCGTCACACTAAATATGAATGTCATATGAGCTGTTCACTAAGAATCGAAGCTTTACAAATTAACTAGTAAAGCTGCTACCAAATTTATATACATCTGTCTACGTGTATCACTTTATTTAACTCTGAGAATCTGAGACCTAACTTTAAGTTCAGGTCACACGTTTCAAGGAGCGACTATTAATGCGGGTCTAAATATTCCCGCGAATGAAAATTCATACATGGTAGCTCGCGACAAAAATTCTAGCTTCTTTCATTCGACAGATGTTGGATCGGGTCCTGCGCTAACGGACCCGGAATTGCGACACGCATCTGAGAGGGCAAGGATATTATATTTTTAAGACTCGTGAGTATTTCCAAGGACACCGACCCCCTGGCCCGACTAACCGAACTCTCGGCGGAACTTTTCCACCTGGCACGGCTGGCAGTGGCGCCTTATAATCGCGAGAAGTTACCCGAAGAATTAAACTTCGGTCTCGATCGGCGCATGCCTGCTGTCGTCATCGACGACGGACGAAGGGACGAGCAAACAAGCACTGCGACGACCAGAGAAAGGGAGAAAGCGGCGCGGTAGCGGTGAGCGGGGTAGTAGTGCGCCCCGGGGGGGTTGGTCGGTTGCACGCGCGTCGAAACGACCGTCAGGGGTTGACGGGGGTTAACGGGGGAGACTGGCGAGAGACGAAGAGGGTAGAAACGCGATAAACCGCCAGACGAGGACGCACGAGGGAAATGCACGAGAGAACAAGAGGGGATGAGGAGCAAGAGGAGGAGGAGGAGGAGGAAGAGAAAGGGGATGGTAGGAGAGGAGCGAACGAAGAGGGATGAACGGGGATAGAGGACGGGGGGAGGGGGGGGCTAGTGAACGGGGATGGAGAGTAGCGTACGGAGTGAAGTGAGACGCACCGAGAGAGAGAGAGAAACGGCGGGAGGACTCGCGGTGGAGGAGGACGCCAGAGAGAAAGAGAGAGAGAGAGAGAGGGAAGGGAGATAGAGATGAAAAGAGAAGGGAGGGAACGAGAGAAAGGGGGACAGACAGAGAGAGGAAACCTCCGGCAACGGGTCGATCGAAAGCGCAGCGCAGAGAAATGCACCACCTCTGCTCTGGTCTGGCAGCTTTGCGGGCGCACCACCGCGTCCGCGTGCGTCAGAAAGAGAAAAAGAGAGCGAGCGTGAGAAAGAGAGAAGGCGGGAGGTAGGAGGTAGAGTAAAAGAGAAACAGAGAGAGAGAGAGAGAAAGGGGAGAGAGAAAGAGAGACCGACGGAAGCGGAAGGGAGACCGACATATATCCGCCAACCAATACCGACGCAAGAGGAGGAAGAGGAGGAGGAGGAGGAGGATGAGGAGGAAGAGGAGGAGGAGGAGGAGGTGGAGGAGGAGGAGGAGGACGAGAGGAGCCAAGCCGAGTCGCGTTGGGCTAGGTCAGGCCTACCCGAGTTCCACACACACCGCGCTCTCTTGCGTGTGCCATCCCGCCGAGGAGAAGTGCACGAAGGCGGAGGCGCAACCCCTTCGCGGAAAGAGGGTCGCCGCGTTCCCGGTCCGCGCGACAGCGGCTGCCTTCGCAAGAGAGCGTAGTTCACGATTTTTATTCGCGCTGAAAACGAAAAGCACCGCGTAAACACCGCGCGACACCCACCGTCGTCGATGAGGACGACGACGCAACGACGATAACGCCGGAGACCTAGGACAGAACGCGCGTCGCGATAACGAATCAGACGTCGATCCGGGTGCCGTGCAGTGTAAATCGCCGCGGGAAAACCGCGGTGGTGCAGTGTACATCGTGCCGGATGCTTTCCCTTCGCGGGGGGACAACGGGCGAGTTTGTCGATCGCCGATGAATAATCGTGAGTGCCGCCTCTACCCCGCGCGCGCGCGCCCGTACGTACGAGCGTGTGTGTGTATGTGTGTGGGTGTGTGTAAGTGTGTACGTGCGTGTGCGTACGTGTGTGTGAAAGCGGAAACGATCCGTTCTCCGTCCGCCGCGGCGAAGGAGCAAGAGGAACACCGAAAGGGTGCCGCAACACGGGGCACGCGTGATTTCGCGACGGCACCGCCGAAAATTCCTTGTTGACAAACATCGGCTGCGACAAAGAGGCGGAGGCAGGCAGACAGCGAGAAAGAGACAGATAAATAGGAAGAAAGGAGGAAGAAAGGATAACGCGGGGCGAGAATGTCAGCCGATCGGCGGGAATCGATCGGGATTCCCTTTTCCCGATGTCCTGATAATCGATAAGAGCGTCGCGTAGGTGGACCGCCGCGGGACCGCCTAGGCAGCGGAGGCAGCGATCGGCCTTACCGACGTCAATTTCTCGCCCTCGCGCCGTACCCTCTCGCTGTGCTCCGCTCGGGTGAGATAAATGTTGAGGATAAACGGCGGCCCGAGGCGTCGACGAGGCTCGCTTTCGCGAGGCCAAGATCGGCCTGCGTGCATCACCGCCGCGTCCGACGACTCCGTCGCTGCTACCGCCGGACTTGGCGAGATGCCGGTCTCCCTGAGGAACCACCGGATCACGTAAAGGGTAGTAGCCGTCGGGCCGCGTAGAGCCCTTCGATCGCGCGCACGCAAGCACGCTCGCGCAACACTGAAGGGAACACGAACCGGAGATCCCCCGGCTGCTGAAGCTGCCTACCTGCACACCCCCGGCTCTGTACATCCCGCGCTGAGCACAACACCGTCGTCATCGTCGTCGGCAGCGAGCGTTCGTGAGCCGCCGATGCACCAGGAGCCGTGAGTATCGCGGGGGCGCGATCGCGCGCCTTCAGAACGATAAGGGCGTTAATGACGACGCGTGAGCGAGGGGAAAGTGCCGCCCTAAGCGGCCGAGAGGTAACCGGCTGGTCTCTCACACGGCCACCGTGGACCGTGGGGTTCGCAAATGACGCTGAAGAACGAGTCCTCACCTGAGGTCTTCTCGGTCTAAGACCTGCTAAAAGGGCTTCGCCGCCTTAAGACCAATGAACCAAGCTAGACGAAGGGGATATTTGCGTGGTCCCCGTGCCGCTCCTCTGGTCGGATCGGCGAGGGGGACCACGCAAATATCCTATAAGTCGGTCTTTTCTGGACAGTTTTGCTTCACGAGACCAATGTCTCGTAAACGAGAATATGAACGGACAGCAGAGTCATCTTGTTCTTGTGAAAATTAATGATCACATCTGCGGTAATGCGAGAGAGAGAGAGAGAGAGAGAGGAGGGAAAGGGGAGAGAAAGAAAGAAGGAGTGATCGAGGAGTCTCGCACCGCGCGCGGCCAAAACATCTCGCACTTGCCCTCTCGCGAGGGATCGATTCCGTCGCGAATCTGCAAACCTGCGTGCCGCGAGTGCGGTGATCTTTCGCGTAAAGTGCGTCGCCACGACGTCGTCGCAATGTCGCGCAACGCAATTCGAGCGGTTCCTCCCTTTCAGTCGATCATTTCGGACGTCTGTCCGCGAGGGCTGAAAGCCAAGAAGAGCCCGGCACGCATCGACGAACGGTCGACGACTCGCGCGAAAGTGCAAATTGATTCGGTGGATATTAATAGCTGATTAATCATTTCCGATATCTGTACGGATCGGGGAGTAATAGGTTCTTCGATCGAAAGAGAAGGAGAAAGGGAGAGACGGACTCTTCGGTTTGCGACTGAAGCGGGGTGAGAGAAATGCGCGCACGAAGATAACGTAATCGAAGATTGATGGGAAACAAATATTATTGCGACAGCGATAGTCGAGCAGAGTGTTTGTCGTCTCCGCCAGGGACGGGAAACTGCATCGTGCAATATTGGTATTCCGGGATGGAGGGGAGGATGCACGAGGAGGACTCCACAGCGGAGCTCCCGAGGAAGAGAATAAATGATTGTTGATCGCGGAGTTGCTCGGGAAGAATCGTTAAACTTTCAAACCGAAGCTTTTAAGCGTTTGCAAATTTATCGCGTCGTTGCGGAAGAATCCATCTCATTGATCATTTAAGAAGAACCGTTCAAACCTCTCCCCCCCTCTCATCCTCTTTTTCTTCTTCTCTCCGTACATCTGTCGGAGAGAACTATGAAGTCTTCCAGCGAAGTGCGAAGTCGCGCTAATCGCGTCCCAAACGAAACGTAGGATCGATTCCAGCATCGTGAATATTTATCTCATTAACGGCGCGGGTCTGTCGAATTTGGAAAAGCGAATTACGAGCCAGAGAAAATATCACGTCGAAAACACACACACACACATACACACGTTCCGTGCTGCGCTGCGCCGTGCCACGCTGCGCGTGCGAGCGAGCGGGTGGGCGATTTTCATGGAAATCGAAATCTGCCGGGTAGCGAAAACCCCCGGCGGAGGGTTGAGCGACGGGCGGGGAGGACTCGGTAGTTTATGCCCCCCGCCACCCCTCCCCGTCTCCCGCTCCTTCCCTGCTTTCCCTCCCTCCCACCCTCCTTCTCACCCTTGCAGTCGATCAATGCGTGGACGGGTTTCACTTTCGCAGTGTTAAAGTGTTGCACCACTGCAGATTGAAGAGTCGGGATCGGCCAGAGGGATAGGGAAATAGAAAGGAAGAGAGATACGGGCAGAAAGAGGAAGAAAGAGAGGGTAAAATTCGATAGGAGGAAGATACGCTGAGGGTAAAATTCTATGCGAGGAAGAGATCGCGCGCTACTCCATTCGATTCCATGCGGTTCGTCTCGCGAATCGGCGGTCGCGGAAAAGCCGCGACAACGATCGCACGCGCCAGTTTGTTCTATAATTCGACGTCCAAGTGCACCGAGCACGCGCTCGCCAACGTTGCGATCGTCGTGAGTTTATCGGATCGTCAATTATGAATCGTCGCATCGACAGTCGGTCGGTCGGTCGGTCGGTTTAAGCATCCGCGCGCGAGCCGAAAATATCCTCGGCGAAAATCGCCGTCGGAGCTTGAAGGAGCAAAGGGGAACTATCCGCCGACGGTGGACTCTACATTTCCATGTGTCTGTCTTATTTATTTCCGCACGCAATCGATCGCCGGCCGGCCGATGCCGGTCCGAGAGCCGATCAGAAGAGGACTCGTTGCGAATTCATCATTTCCTAGAGTCGGCTGGTCTCAATCACACCGCTCCTTCCCTCCCCTTACGCCCATAAATACACGCGGCAAGAAATAGAACCGTGAGACGGCGCTTAATTATTCCTTCGAGAGCGATCGCGCCGCCGTTCCGGAAGGAACGGACATCCCGTGGGGCGCCGCGATGACGACTGCACCCCGTTAGCGATAAAAATAATTGCGAAAAACGTACTGCCGCGAGAAACAGTCCGAGCGCAGGTAAAAAATAGCGCGCCGTCAATGGCGCGGCTTCGATTATTCATTGGGGAGCCGCTGAACGAACGAACGGACGAACAAACGAGCGGATTGAAAATGGCTCGTCCGCGACGATCTTCCGGGAGACCGTTAGCGAGTAAGACCAAAGCTGCGAGCTGTGAGGTGAACGCACGCCACGGCCGTGTGCGCGCGTGAACGACAAAATTGATAGTATCCGCAAAGGACAACGTGAAGATTCCACGCTCCCCTAATGTGTCGCGCGGTAATCAGCTTAAAGCGACAGCTAATCCGTCGCTCGATTGTGCGCGGCTCTTCCGCCGCCGCGATGATAAATTTCGCAATCGGTGATGCGGAGTCATGAAGGACTACTTCGGCCTAAAGCTTCGATCGAAATATGGACCTCGGGATTGACAGTGACGTTATCCGAAAGTGCCTCGCAATAAAAATTCGCAACGCAAATTTTAACAAAGTCTTAACTAGGAATTTGTCTCATAGTCCTGATGTAGTCTCCTGATAGTCTCAGGCCCTTATCAGGAATTTGTCTTATGATATAATTTCATAGGTCCCTCGTAGGTTGGTCTTAATCAATTATCTGGTTCTCGGCTAGAAATTTGTTCCATGGACTTGATTATGTTGGTCCCGATCAGTTATCTGGTTGCCGGTTAGAAATTTGTCCCATGGATCTAATCAGGTTGATTAGTTATGTGGTTTATATAAATTGAAGTTATTGGATCCTGATAAGTCACGCAATACAGCATGGGTGGTAATTAGGATTTTATTAATAATTAGAATTATTGATAATTAGAACCTTATTAATAATTAATACCCGATAACATCACCTTATACAAGTCCGATTAGAATTTATTCCATGGTCCTAATTAGATTCTGATCCTAATCAGTTATTTGGTTTGAATAAAGTGATGTTATCGGGTTTTAATTATTAATAATGCTCTAATTATTAGTAATATTTATTATTAATAGAGTCTTGATTACTATGGTATGTTACATAGCCATGAGGAGCCGATAACATCACATTATATGAAGAGAACTGATTAGGATCAACCTGATCAAGACCATGAGATAAATTTCTAGTCAGATTTGTATAAAATGATGTGTTACTGGGCCCTAATAAGTCGTATAACGAAACATGGCAGTCAAAATCTTATTAAGAATTAGAATTATTCATAATTAGGACTTTATTAATAATTAGTTTCCTTAATATCACTTACATCATCTTATACAAGCAAAGATAACTGATTGGAGTCAACTTTACCAAGATCATGGGGTCATTTTTAGATGAATTTGTATATGATGTTATCAGGTCTTGATAAGTCATAAAAAATAAGGCAATCAAAACCTTATTAATAATTATGATTATTAATAATTAGTTACCTGATAATATTGCTTTATACAAAACAGATAACTGACTGAGATCAACCCAATCAGATCCATGGGATAAAATTTGTAGTCGGGATTACCTTCCAAATCATTTACAAAGATCATTCCGGTGACATTTGCTTCACGCTCTTGTCGCTCAAATCTGAGAATTTTGTGTGGAATTTTGTGTATAGCTGCAAACTTATTTTCTACTTCTGCTGATTACTTTCATGGGAGACATTATCTACGTTGTGTTCTCTTCTGCGTGCGAGTTTATAGATTTCATTTTCACAGTTCATATTATTTATACCAAATTGTTATTATTATTTCTCGCATAGAAATTTCTCAAAATTTTCCCAGATACAGTATAAATTCCGATTAAAACGTCCAAATTTGCCCCAAAACTCATTACGGTACTAATTAAGAATCCCATTCTTGTCTCAAACATGAAGTTCTTCTTCTACAATCGAAATACTTTAGAGACTAACGCTTTTTTTAGTTAGTAACATCACATCAGTCAATAACATTTAGTTAGTATACAGAGTGCCTGAGATGACACACGAGATGACAAAAAGCACGTGTACAGATTAGGTCAAACTGAACCAAAACAATTCCTTTACAATTTTTCAAACAATAATATAAAATTTCAAGATATTAATTAAGAAAGATTGGTGAACCAATACGTGAACCAAACCATAGGACGAGCTCTGTCTCATCGAAAATGATTAAGACGCGACTACTTCTTAGTGACAGTGGCTGTTGACTGACAGCTTCACTTTTCCAGAGTGAAGTAAAGACCAAAAAGGCATTAGGAAAACTTTGAATTTCCGATTTTGAACTTGTATGTTTGAAACATTACACTTCTAACCAGAATCCATGTGGTTACTTTGGGGAATATAATCATTTATACTATTTATTTTATTTACAGCACTTTTTTATCTATGGAATACATTTCGTTTTGCTCTTCTCTCCAATTTCTGTCTGTCAATCTGCAATGTTATTGTGTCAAAAAGTTTGGCAAGACATTAACCGTTAATAGATCATTATCGTTATAAAAATTTCGTAGAAGTAGAGATCGTAGAAAGAATATTGTAAGAAACATTGATAAATCAAGAGATGCTATTCTCGCGTATCCCTCCCGAAAGTGGAGAACTGAATTAACGAGAGACTTCTGTTCTATTTGCAGCAAAGGATGGAGGCCAGCGAGTGGGATCACGCGACCTTGAGGGAGGAGGAATTCGAGCAGCACGCCGTATATTTGGTACCGGATGTGGCGGCATCGCCAGGCGATACCAATCGTGCGGAGGCGTCCTTGCCGCGGAACCTGGTCCTCAAGGCCTCTCAGGCCCTCAACGATGTACGTTCTTTCACTGCCAAAAAGTCCTATCTCATCTCTTTCACAGAGAGAAGATCTCCTCGGCTCGATAGTCGCCGAATTCGATTTCGCAAACGCAAAAAATTCATACTAACTAGTCGAATTGTCGAGTTGTCATCCGCGGAGACGTCGATAGTGCTGTCAGTGTAATCTAGGATCTAATCTATTTCTGTACAAGATAGATGTCGAAACTCACGAATATTATTCATATACTTGGATATCTAAATTAGCGAATATTCTACTCGGATACTCGGAATTTAAAGAATTGGATTGATGGAATCGTATATCCTGATATAAATATATGTTTCTATATAAATATATTCTTCTCGTTAATCTACGTCACTTACAAAAAGAGATAATGGTGATAACTGTATATGGGTGACTACTATATGGATGACAATTGCACGGGTTTTGCATTAATATATATAGTATATAATAAACTATTTTGTAGTTATTGCAGCTATATGAAGCTGAGTGGTTGGGAAAACTATGTAGTTCTCGTTACTTTTCTACTATAACTACTAACTACAAATACTAACTACTAAAAACTAACTAAAATAGTTTATTAAACTATATACATTAATTTTACGTACAAAATTCGTATAGTAGCCACCACTATGTTCTTATCTCTGAATGTATATATAAGAATATTAAAGTAACGTGAATGTGAAAAGTAAATTTACTAAGATAAAAAAATGATTGATCTAACTAAAATTATCGTTATTTTTGGTTCTAACCATATTAGTTGGTTGTTCTAGCATGAAAATAGTAGTAGTAACATGCATATAAGGCTATTAACACCAAAATTTAATAAAAAGAAATGCTTTTCTTGACCATAATTTATAGTAATTATTTACATGATTATAGTTACAAATATTAAACATTTTTTTCTGAGTGTCGAATATTCATGTTCTAACATATCTTCATATAAAAACTAAATATTTCGTGAAGTACCCTTATAGAAATATCATACTAAGAATCATTGATAATTACTTATTTTCAGTATTAAAAATACTGGATAATAAGTAATTATCAATGATTCTTAATATGATATTTCTATAAGGGTATCTCCTTGGCGTTGATCTTACCTTAATACTTCTGCGCGTAGAATGACTCAACAAATAAATAAGAAAAGATAATAATGAGAATAAATAATTGCATGCTTAAACACTCGAGTAATTTAAGAAATATCGGGTATTCAGCTAACCGGATAATACCTGGAAGGCTTAAGTAGCCAGATAGTACTAGAGATATTCAAGTATACGGAATTAGTATCCCTCACTAGTCGTTTATCCTCCGGTTGAACTCGCGTGCGAAATCGATCGGCTTTGGAGCAAAATTCACGATCCGTTAAACCGCCGGTCTCGTTTACGAGCGGACGAACGAGCGAAGGCGTTGGCCGGGAAATCAAACTCGACCGAGTGACGGGGCTAATTAGCTTACTCAGAACCGGCGTCAAATCGTCACACTTTCCTCCGCGTTCGCTCGCTCGATGGGACTAGCTCGAGTCGAAATTTTCCTGCGACTTTAGTCCTCGATGTTTCAATATTCAAAATTTAACTTTTCCACCGGGTTCTCATTTTTATGGAAATTGGGCTACCTTCTGTATCAATTATCGGCCACCAAATGCAATTATACGCAGAACGTTTCGAAAGGATGCTCTTAAACGGCTCCAAGGTAATGCTAAACGTAATTTCTATTTAAATGCTGAAAAATTTTGTGAGAATCGGGACGAAGTGAATTTTCTTTACTCTACCGGCTCGCCCTCTACTTGCCTAAGAAGATAACTCGAGGCTTAAATTGTAAACCATTCGGAAGTTATTCTATCGTGTACACTGTAGTGGTCTCCGAAGTTAATATCCATTCTAACGCTTCGAACAGTCAAGTGACTTTTTCTGATTCAGTAAATAAACAACAGCTTCTCTTGAATTTCTTTAGGAGTAGTCTAATGAATCTAACAGTTCATCATTTTGCTATTTACACTCATATCGCCACCGTCAACAGAGTTCTCGGCTAACTGATGAGGAGCTTTAATTAATTCAAAAATTTACATACTATTTGCAAAGTGGTAGAAGACTTTTTTATTCAGTTTAACCTAATGTACAAACACATAACGAAAATCATACTTACCGTCATGTTCTGCACTGCATCAAGCGCGATTTTTCACTAAATTTCTTTAATAATTCAAAATTTTAAACGATTGCGAAGTAAAGCGGATTTTTGCGTTCAGCTTGTGAATTCTACCTGCACACAACAGGTGTGTCATAAATTGTTAGACACTCCCTGCATATTACACGTTATATAAAATATTTATTATATGCACACATATAATTATATAATTATAAAATTATATATAAATTATTATTATATTGTACATACAAAATTATATTATATAACATTATTATATTCCTATTTTTTCTTCTCTCTTTCTACCTGTCTGTCAAACAAAGATTATTCGTTTATGAATGAATCAATATATATGTAACATTTTTGTTATATATAAATATGATACAAGAGATTTATTACATAAACGTGGCGTCATCTATCGAGAATCGAAAATGAATCTGTCGTCGCAATCCTCTGGAATCCGTAAACGTCAGAAAGTTAAAGACGAAAGCAGAAACGGAATTTCAACACAAGCACTCTGACGACCCTCCGCCTCGCGAGTTCGTGAGAAATTTCCAGTCGGACGCGAGGGAGAACGTCCGGGAGGGATGTTACGAATCGCGGCGATGTAATGTTTCGAGCTGCGCGCGCGCGCGCGCTTCCCGAGCGCGGGGCTAATCGGAGCGAAGCGCGCGCGCGCGCGCCCTGAAGGCGAGCCGAAGAGTTAAATTAGTTTCGCCATACGCGGACGTCTCTGTGCGATAGCTAGGCGGATTCTATTCTAACGCGGGACAGGGGTGGAAATAGGTTCCATCTTCCGCCGCGTATTTTCACGGAATAACGCCGAGACGATCGAATGACAACGAGAATGTCGGAGGGAGCGGACACGCACGCGTGCACTCGCCGATCATTCGTTTCAGCTCGCTCGACAATATTCCGGAGAAACATCGTCGAACGTTGCCACGAGACTCACCCGCGGGGAAGACGACTTCGAATCACGCGGTTTGGAGTAACTTTGAGTTCCAAGCGGACGATTTCGACAACTGGACTCAAATCGCGGAATTACACTGGGGGGTC